CTCTCTCTCTCTCTCTCTCACACACACACACACACACACACACTCTCTCACTCTCTCACACACACACACACACACACACACACACACACACTCTCTCACTCTCTCACACACACACACACACACACACACACACACACACTCTCTCACTCTCTCACACACACACACACACACACACACACACACACACACACACACACTCTCTCTCACACACACACACACACACTCAACACACGTGTCTACAGAAGGACCAGAGATGGATGATTGATCAGCTCACAGGCCAGTTTGTGGGTCAAACGACTGGAGTCTGTTCTACAGCATTACATACACTACCGGCCAAAAGACTGGAATCATTACGCTAGAACATTACAGAACAACAACAACAACATTTCTTATTGATATCAATGTTGAAAACAGGTTTTCCACTCAATATTTTTGTGCGATGTGGGATAAGTAAGATTTTACTCTAGCTTTATTCATCAAGGACGCATTAAATTGATCAAAAGTGACAGTTAAGGCACTTATAATGTTAAAAAAAGATTTCTGTATCAAATAAATGCTGTTCTTTTCTTGAAAAATAACATGTATGACAATTGAGCAGCAAATCAGCATATTATACTGATTTCTGAAGATCATGTGACACTGAAGACTGGAGTAATGATGCTGAAAATACAGCGCTGCATCATATGAATAAATTATATTTGAACAGATATTCACAAAGAAAACAGCTATTTTAAATTGTAATAATATTTCACAATTTTTGCCGTATTGTGGATCAAATAAATGCAGCCTCGGTGAGCAGATGAGACATGCTCTGATAGAACATCATAATTATTAAAACTATTGTATATATACACAACAAAAGCAGTGTCACGCACACCATGACAGCAGATGAATCATCCGATGAATCTTTGAACCCTGAATGTTCCTGAATGACTCTCAATTAGATTCACATTCACACTGTGACGTAAGAACGTCAAACATGAATCACTTCTGTTTGACATATGTTACCCTGGAGCACAAAACCAGTCATAAGGGTCAATTTCTCAAAATTTAGATGTATACATCATATGAAAGCTGAATAAATAGCTTTCCATTAATGTATGGTTTGTTAGGATCGGACAATATTTGGCCGAGATACAACTATTTGTAAATCTGGAATCTGAGGGTGCAAAAAAATCTAAATATTGAGAAAATCATCTTTAAAGTTGTCCAAATGAAGTTCTTAGCAATGCATATTACTAATCAAAAATTAAGTTTTGATATATTTACGGTAGGAAATTTACTAAATATCTTCATGGAACATGATCTTTACTTAATATCCTAATGATTTTTGGCATAAAAGAGAAATGTATAATTTTGACCCATACAATGTATTGTTGGCTATTGCTACAAATATGCCCCAGCGACTTAACACTGCTTTTGTGCTGCAGGGTCACATATGAGCATCAAACGCAGCAAATGTGGCATTCGAACACGTTTCTCTTCCTGCATCAGCATTACGTCTGAAACAGACACATCACACCCAGCGATTCATCCAAAACAAACACACTGAGGAATCATGGCACACCTGTGTGAAGATGAATCACACAGCAAACAGAACAAACTCTCTCTTCACTCGTACCTGTTCACAGCCTCGGCATACAGACGGCGTGACGCGTGAGAACCGCGACAATGTGCCACTTCTTCTCACTGCGGAATCCTTAAGAGGATTTGTAAGGAGCTTTACAAACTCACACAGGTCTGCGATTATCCAGCGCAAAGGACGCTGGGACACGCAGATTCTGGAAAACTTCTTCAGTTCTGTTCTTCTGAAGATCTTTGCGTGATCATAAAATGTTCCAAATCAGGCTTTGCTAGTGTTTTACATCACAAACGGGCTGTTTTACCTTCATACAAGGGGTTTTATATTTGGATCTTAACAACAACAGGTTTATTTATTTACATAATTTTTTTAAATATATATATAATTTTATTTATTTATTTATGATTTTATTTTATTTATTTATTTTATTTTATATTATATATTTAAATATAATATTTATTTATATATATATATATATACATATATATTTTTTTTTATATATATTTTTTTATTATTATTATTAACCATAATGAAGCACAATATCTCCACTGTGCTTGTGAGTTTTTGTGTCGGCTGTGAATCCATACGCTGCACATTATTCCTCTTTAATCTCATTATCTCTTCTGCTTGCGTCTCAAGGCCCGTATGTACCCAGAATCCTCAGCGCTCGCTGACATCACAGACCTGTCCTGATCCTATTAAACACAGCTATATTAAGATCTTTATGAGCACCGTAAATTCAGCACGGGCAACATATGAAAAATAAGCAAATTAACCCTCTCCTTCAGCAATATGAGGTCAAAGGTGACCGAAAACCCATTAAAACACACCATTAGTCTTCATATGTGGGTCAAACTGAGACACATCCACGGATGAAGCGCTTTAAATTCACTCGTCATCGTCTCTTCAGCGGGATTGTGAAGAGAAGCGTGAAACTTTCCTCTGTTTAGACTTCATTTACAATCTGCTCACAAACCACACTGAGAAGGCGACACAGCTGATCTATAGGGAGAAGCTCGCTCTCTCTCCGGAGCGATAACAGCATTCATCTGAAATCACTGCTTCTCCAGCGCTGAGAACTCAAGCCAGTAATTAAGACTCACAATAGAAGC